AGATTCCCGAGCAGGGGAGATATGGGGGGAGAGGGGGGAAAGGGGGAAAGGGATGGGGGATACCCTGCAATTCAGAAAATTATTGATAAGCAATCAGTCGATGGAGAGCTTTAAGGCCGTTCCCAAACAATGGATCCTGTAATCAAGCGGCTTAGTATATGTGAGGTAGATGGCGGGTGAAAACAGCTTGTGCGTGAGGTAGTGAGAGAAACCGAATTGTTGATTAACTCTGGCTGCGAAAGTCATTAGAATTACCCGAATTGGCTTTGCTAGATGGAGCGCGGTGAAATGGGGTAGAAAGAGGAATTGCGTGGAGGATTTTTGGGATGTGGTTCTGCTGAGGCAAAGTAGGCTACAGATTCCCATCGAAATTACATTTGCAACAAAAGCACGAATCGTGACCTCGTTGAGAGATATTTGTTTTTGGGCTGCCCAAAAAAAATTGGCTGAGCGTCCAGCGTCCCAGCGTACGGACACCAGCCTATATTCACTGGGGGCTTCCCTATCCAGACCATAGGTGTCATGTCATAGGTGTCCTATCCAGACTTATGTGTTATGTCATAGGTAGCATTAAGAATACTGCACCATGCCATTATCAAGCCGCCCAAGTGTTTCACATCAGCTATCTGGTTTTAATGCGTAAAGCATTGGTGCCACTCTTGCTGTGTTACGCATTCATGCACCGGTGGCATGCCTTCCCTGACATGCAGGATATGAGACGTCTCCAAGCAGTGATGCCACTCTTGCTGCGCTGTGCTATGTATTCATGCACCGGTGGCATGCCTACCCTGCCTTGCAGGACCCTGGCTTACAACCAGCTCTCAGGCACCATTCCTGAATTGAGCATGCTCACCAATCTCAACACTCTGTGAGCTCGCCTGCACACTGAATCACCCTACTACTGTGCCCCCTTTTGCAACGCCACGCTGTGTTGCCATGGCGTGCCATGCCAATTTGTGCGATGCCAATCCGTGCCAATCCGTGCCGTTGCATGCGATGCCATGCTTGTAATGCCATGCCATGCCACGTCTGCTGCCCATCATACACGCCAGTTCATGCTTGAAGCTCCCTCCCTCCACCTCCCATTCCTCTCTGCAGCACTGCTTATCTCCATCTCCTCCTTCCACCCCGACTCCTCAACCGCTCACCTTTTTTTTGCTGCCCCCTATTGTCAACATGACTTAAGCAGCAAGTATTTTAGATTCTCAGTTTGATACGAATCTCCACCGCACCCCCTGCTGTCCCATTGTCAGCATCAAGTACCATTCCAGGTGGCAACCTGTGCATTGGGCCCTCGCTGTTGCACACCCCTTTGAGACCCAAACATTCTTTATTCATGTGTGATGACTCCAAGGCAGGCTCCCCACTTTCTCCCTCCCTCCCCATGTCCCTCCCTCCCCATGTCCCTCCCTCCCTCCATCACTACCCCCTGAGTCAACACCACCAGAGCCCTTACTGGCAACCAGTTCTCAGGGACCATTCCTTCGCAATATTCCGAGCTGAAAAACCTGCGCTACATGTAAGCCCCCCCAACTGCACTCCCATTGCCCCCACTGCACTGCACACTATCACTTGCCTCCATCAATGCTGCTTTCTGCTAGGCTGGCTCCTTCACTAACCCGTGTGCGTTGCCAATGCAGGTACCTCCACAAGAACTCCTTTTCTGGATCTCTTCCCAGCGCTTTGTCTGCATTGACAGGCCTTTCGGGATTGTGAGTCGCTTCAATCTAATTGTGTTATGACATTGCAAAGCAGTGTGGTAGAGAAGAGAGCATAAATGACCAATCGAGTAGAGTTTTTCCCCACTTCTCGCTGCGCAAATCTGGCGTTTTCCTGTCAGTTCTGGCACTAGCATTAATGAAGCAGGTGGCAGGACTGACTACTTGAGGGTGGGGGAAGAGGGGGCAGATTGCCAGAAGTTGAGTTATTCTCAACTCAACTCCGGTTGAGCAAAAAAAAACTCGTCCATTCAGAGTTACGAGCCGGCATGCATCAATGGCCGGTTCTGCCCTGCCTTTGTTATGCACGCATGCATGCATCAAATGAGTGACGCATGTCCATGACGGACAACCGCCTGTCAGGCACCATTTACGAGACGTCTCAAAAGCCTGCCCTGCCCCGCCCTACCTCGCTCTGCCCTGCCCTGCCCTGCCCTGCCCTGCCCTGCCCTGCCCTGCCCTGCCCGACTCAGGCTTGTGGCCGACAACCAGCTGTCAGGCACCATCTCTGTCTTGAGCACGCTCAGCAATCTCTCCACTCTGTAAGCTCGCCTCCACACACACCGAAAGCACCCTGCTGTGCCCTTATGTCACACCAGCCGCCAGGCTGTGCCGTGGCATGCGATGCCGTGCCATGGCATTTCATGGCACTCCATGCTTCGCCATGCAATGCCATGCAGTGTCGTGACATGCCATGTCATGCCGTGCCATGCCATGCCATGTGATGACGGGCCATGTCTTGCATGCGTACCATACCACATCTACTACACCATCCTACTCACATTCTCGTGGTTGCCACTCCCTCCCTCGAACTCTCCTACAACTTTGCAGCACTGCCTGTCTCCATTTGCGTCCTTGTACCCCAACCCCTTACACACTCATGCCTGTTGTTGCCTTGTCAGCATTACTCTAGCAACTGGTATTTGAATCCTGAGTCGACTACGTGGAAACCAATTTTGAGAAATCTCAAAAGTGATTTTCATTTTTGAGAATTCTCAAAAGTGATTTTCATTATTCTAGCAACCACTACTTGAATCCTGAGTCGAAAAAATAATTCCACACCACCGCGCAGCCCTTACACTGTTTCCATTGCTGTGTAAGAACTCAAAGGCAATCTCTGTTGGAGTTAGGTGTTAAGATGAGGATTCCAGCAGCGATGGCTAAGTAGAAGGTTCAAAGGATGCATAGAGTAGATATGAGTACAATGTCATAGTGTTGGCTGGGACGAAACCCCAACTGAATCCAGGCAATGTTCCAACACACTCCATAATGACCCTAAGCCGAACTTGAACTAAGGCTAAGGGTACCGTACCCCCCGGTTAGAGTCCCCCCCTTTTTTTCGCCTCGAGGTTAACATAAGCAAAAAGGGGCTAAAACGATTTTCCAATCACAAGGCCCAGGGCTATAACAAAAAAGATCAACTAAACGCTCCCCCTCTTCCCCCTCGCCCTCCCCCCCCCTCCCCCCAAAAAATGGTTAAAATCACATACAGAGAAGAACTAGCCTACTCCAACATTAAAATGATGTGCACTTGAAAAGATTTGACCTACTAGGTGATTGTTCTCTTGCGCGACATTTCTCTAGATTGTTTCACTCACCAGCATTGGACGGTTCACACATGGGTCCGTCTAGGGATGAGCAAGGGGCGAACACGTTCGTGTTCGCATTCCCCCCTGCGCGAACACAGCCGTTCGGCGAACCGAGCACCTTTGGCGAAAATAGGTGTTCGCTGTTCGCCTGTGAAGGCGAACACCTTGCTTGGAAAGGCGAACGCGGACATGTTCGAGGCAAACACGTTCGTGTTCGCCAAGGGACACCTTTCACTATAGTCACACTTGCCAAAAAGGGAATCTCACGCCCCCTAAACGCATACTCCCTACTTTAACTGCAAGTTCTTCAAGGTTCCGCTATTCTAGTATCACTAATGTAACCTAAATCAATCTAAGATAGTGTAGTGAGGGTTCTAGGACTGCTAGGAAAGGGCGGTAGTGGGCGCTAAGGGGCTGGCGATTAGGTCGCGGATAGTTTGAGCTCAAAAAATGAGCTCAAACATCAAGGCCCGCGACCTAAAAATTGGTCACGGGCCAATTCGCCGACGAACACCGAAGTGTTCGTCGTTCGTGTTCGACGCGGCTCGGCCAGTTGACGAGGGCGAACACCGAACGTGTTCGCCCGAACAGCGAACACGTTCGAGGTGAACATTTTTGGGCAAAAAAAAACCCTGTCGAGGCGAACTGAACAGGTGTTCGTATCTGTGCTCATCCCTAGGTCCGTCGATATCTCAAAGCGACTCAACATCATATCCTCACTCTCGGGGGATGGTATCTCCCCCAGTTCACCATGAGGGTTACAGTGTCTCTTCGTGGGCTGATGACCAGACTGATCACCTTTCTTCACAGAAGTACTGCTTTGCATTTGGCAGTGGGGCTGTGAGTTGGCGCTCTACTCGGTAATCTTCCGACTTGCTGTCCCATGGCCAATGTGAGGCTGCTGAGCTTTATGCCAGACCCATGGCTTCTTAGAAAGCCCGTTGGCTGATTGGGTATACTTGGTGAACTTGTGTATCCTCAGTCCACACCTACCCTCTAGTGTAACAACCAGAGCATTATTCACGTCATCAAGGACTCTGTCCTCCACAGCCACATCAAGTACATTGAGATCTGCCACTATATTCTTCATGAGCCAATTCAAAGGTGAGCACATTGCATCCAACTGCAACCTCGGTGACCACTGGTTTTCTTCACCAAGTCCCTTAGCTGGCAGGACCATTACCGTCGGCTTACCTCCATGAGGCTTCACTCTCTCCATGGTTGCATGTTGCAGCCTGGCTGGGGAGTGTGTTAAACTTAGGCTTCCAATATTTTCTGTACTCTACTTTTTATCGAGTAGGTTATTTACAGTTTAGATGTAGATTCGTGAGTTGATTTTTGAGTCGACTCAAAATCAACAGTTTAGATGTAGATTCGTGAGTTGATTTTTGAGTCGACTCAAAATCAACAGTTTAGATCAAGGTTCAAAAATACGGCAATCGCAAATTACGGTCCGTAATTTACGGTTGTAAATTACGGTGGTTTTGGCAAAAATACGGCCGTTTTTTTGTTGGACTTTTTTTTTCTTGTTTTTTTTTTTCAGAAAATTCTAGGCAGCTTACAACGATGGCAGAGAAGCCTACAAGAAACTACACTACACTAGTTAGGCAAATCTGCACCTATTCTATTCCCTCCTCTTCCTCCAATCCTACTCCTTCCTCCAACTCCTTCTACTCCTCCGGCACTCCACCTCCTATCCTTCCTCCTCCTCCGCCTCCTCCTCCTCCTCCTCCTCCTCATCCTCCTCCTCCTCATCCTCCTCCTCCTCGTCGTCCTCCTCCTCCTCGTCGTCCTCCTCCTCGTCGTCGTCCTCCTCCTCGTCATCCTCCGCCTCCTCCTCCTCCACATGCTTCTTTCCTCTCCCCTTCCGCTTGCATGGCCCCTTTCCCTTCTGCTTCTTCTTCCTCTTGGAGCTCTCTCCCGCGCGCTTCTTCTTCTTCTTACCAATGCTCCCAAAGACGCTCCAGTCGATGGTGCACTCCTGCACCTCGGCTCCCTCCTCCTCCTCAGCCCCATCATCAACCGCCTCCACTGGTGCGGGCGGGAGAACGGCAATGCCCTCTTTGAGGGTTCCGTCGGTGAGATCGGCGTACAACTTCGCACGCGCCTGCGTTTTGCGATCAAACGCATCGCGGGCCCTCCTCGTGAAGGCCACGAAGGTGACATCAGTCATCTTCTTGGCCGCGATGCGGTTCCGGTCGCGCCTCTGCACTCGTGCAAGGGCGGACCAGTACCGCTCCACCTCTGACGAGGTGACTGGCTGTGAAAGGGACGTCACAGCCAGCTCCTGGAGCGCTTGCACTTCCCCTCCAAAAATGCACCACCACTCCGCATCCGTCATGTGTCCCCCCGCCACCAAAATCCTGGCTGCCCATAGCGCGTCATCCGACCCGAGGCGGCCCTCCCCCTTGTGAAACTGCACCAGCTGTGTCTGCAGCTTGATGCGCTGGGCAACATCCCCCACCCGGGCATGAATCACCTCGTTGGCCCCCTTCCTCACCTCCGCATCCGTTCTCACCTCCCCCGCATATTGGTTGCGGGGATTAAGAAGCCATCCGAGGGCATGCAGGGAGTTGTGGAGTTGCCCATCCCAACGCTTGGCAAGGATGCCCTTGATGGATGTGATGAAGGAGCTCTTGTCCTTGGCCAAGAGCAGACCCGTCTTCTTGACGAACACCGCCGCTGCTCACGGTGAGAATGGAGGTGGTTTTCGTTAATGTAGGGATTGGCATGCGCGGCATGATCTCGCATCACAGTTTTGGATCAAGGAGTAGGAAAACCAATAAATAGCCTTGCACTTACCGGCGGCCTCTGCAGCTACCCGAGTCTTGACCGTGATGTCAATCATAAGGCCATAGATTTGGCCCATGATTTGCGCCCGCGTGTCAACCACCCTTAGCACTTCATAAACCGGCGTGAGGAGGCCGAGCACCGCAGACACGCAGTCCCAAAATACGTCGTCGAGAAGAAGCGTCCGCACCTCCTGCCCTTCGGTCTTCTGCGCCACCGCCACCCCTTTCCATTCATCGCTGATGACCATCTCCTGGAGCGCCTTCTTCACCTCCAAGAATCGGCGTAGCATGATGACTTGCGTGCCGAAACGTGTCGCACCCGGCCGCACCAACGAAAGCTTGGTAAAAAGCTCGCGGAATAGAACGACGGCCGAGGCGCTGCCCTTGATCATCATGACGACCCGATGAACTTGCTCCAAGACGAGTTTGATGGGCTTGACTTTCCCAAAGTCGTGAAGCATAAGATCCAAGCAGTGGGCGGCGCAATTGGTGAAGAAAATCCTGGGAAACTCCACCTTAAGCTTCTCAGCCGCAGATCGGTTGTTAGAGGCGTTGTCCATAATGACCTGGACCACGAGATCTTTCCCCACTTCGGAGATGGACTTGCCGATGAGACCCGCGAGGTAATCCCCCGTTTTCTTCGCGGTTTTCGAGTCGATGATGTCCACAATGACGGGCGCGGTGTCGTTGAGGGCGATGACGCACACCATCGCGCGGGTCTTCAAGCACGTCCACCCGTCCACCGAAAGACTGCACCCGGTCGTCTTCCAACTCTCCTTCAACGGCCTCACAAGCTCCTCGGCGTCCGCCCTTAGCTTGTCGAGGAGAGATCCGGACACCTTGTAAGGGGTTGGGAGTGTGTAGGGCTTCGCGTAGACGACAGCCGCGTCAACGAAGGCCTGTAGCGCACGAGACTTGGAGACGTTGAAGGCAAGATCATTTTCAGCCACAACTGCCGCCCACAGGTAGTCCAAACGCGCGCGGGCAACGGAATCCGCCATATCGCGGATGTCCCGCTGCCTAGAACGCCTTGCGGGCGGCATCTCGACCATTGTGGAGGTGGAGGAGGCACGGTTGGAACTTGACGGTGTGGAAGACCGATCGCTTTCGGCGGCTTCTCGTAGCCGTTTGGCAAATTCGGACGGACACGGCGTCACGTTCTTCTCCTTTGAGCGAGGGGTCCCGTAGATGTGCTCTCGAATACGAGTGGCATTTGGGGTCACGGTAGCAGGGCAATAGCTGCATGTCGCGGTAACTACGCCGTTAGGAGATGTGACCTTCGTCACGTGCTCCCACACCTCCGAGAACGGTCTAACCATGGTGGAATACTGCACTTGCTTGACTGCAGCAGTAAAATGCCTACTAAGCTAAGATGTACTTGTCGAGTAGGTTGTTTGCCCTGCTCTTTGTGCCTTGCTAGATTTGGTTGTGTTGCTTTGGCGAAAGGAAAAGGCAGAAGGGGTGGGATGGGATGGGATGGGGATTGGGCTAACGCTATTGGTTAAAATGGTTTCGCAGCGCAAAGTTCGGTTGTGTCGCGCACGCGGGCGAAAAAAACGAAAAGCTCGCGAATCGTCCCACCGACCTGACGAAACGGGTTGACGGGTGACAACGGTTCGCCAAATGTACAGTTTACCGCATCGCGCAAATTTGTATATTTGCGCTTCGGCGAAATGCGCGAACTGACATTTCGTCAAGGCAACAGAGCAGGAATCCGTTCGCCAAAAAACCAAATGTCGCGCCTCGAGAAATACCTGACATGCGCGACTCGGGAAAAAAAACCAACACGTGTGCATTTGGCCGCACAAATGTTTCTGACCCAGGGTGACGGTTGTGAAACGCCGAAATTCGCTATTGCAAACTCGGTATCAAAATTTCGGTCGTAATTTACGACCGTATTTTTGCACCAACATTACAATACAATGATTTACCGTTTTTTACCGTAATTTACGACCGTAATTTACGGTTCCGTAATTTACGGCAAAAAATGAAAAATACGGTCGTATTTTTGAACCTTGGTTTAGATGTAGATTTGTGACCCCAACCTTGTGTGTTTTGAGTCGACTCAAAACACACCTTGTCCAAATTGAGATTCCAACGTTATCATAGAGGATTTGGTTGGATTCCCATCCTATCATTTCCCCTATCTTCCTCAATTCAACTTTGTACTCTGACAGGCTCCCCACTCCCTCCCTCATCCGTCCCTCTCTCTCTCCCTCCCGCCCTCCCTCCCGCCCTCCCTCCCTCCCTCCCTCCCTCCCTCCCTCCCTCCCTCCCTCCCTCCCTCCCTCCCTCCCTCCCTCCCTCCATCCCTCCCTCCCTCCTCCCTCCCTCCCTCCCTCCCTCACTCTCTCCGTCCTTCTTCCCGCCCCAACCCCTGTCGTGCCCCTGTCAACATCAGCGATCTCTCCAGCAACAACTTCTCAGGGAGAATTCCGTCGGGATTCTCAAACCTAAAAAAGTTGCGCAACATGTAAGCTCCCCCCAACTGCACTCCCACCCCCCTACCGCACACCATTACTCGCCTCCACCTATTCTGCTCTCTCCATAGCCCCCGCATGCATGCACTGCTCTGCTGACCATCACTTTTGTGTGTGTGCCGCCAACGCAGGTACCTTGACAGTAATTCCTTTTCTGGGTCTATTCCCGGTACCCTCTCTGCAATGGCAAGCCTCGTGCAAGTGTGAGTCGCTTGCTCTATCCATGTGTGCCGGGACAGTGCAGAACATTCATGGTTGGGAAAAGGTGAATGCTATAAAATTCTATCAAGAGAGTCAGCGTGTACAATGTGAGAGAAGTGGGGGTAACCAAGAGATGGCGCACCCAACGCGATGGGGTACCCAATGTGTTTAACTGCCTAATAGTGTTTGGGGTACGCCACGAATTATAAAGGGAGCCAATTATTGGTTGACAAAGGCCAAAACTGCTGGCCCCCTATCACTTGCAGAGTGGGGTTGGGGTGCGCCAATCCAAAACTGGAGGGGGTATTTCGAGCAACGTGTGCACCCAACCCTGGGTGCAGCACTTGTATGACTATTTCAAGTGGTCTCATCGCATCTATGAAGCTATTTAGAGCGTGGGACTTATCAGTCTCTGCCCCACTCCCTCATTGCTGTCCCCATGTGTTGCAGTGCCATTCTGTGCTGTCCCTTTCAGATGTTTTCAGTCAAAACTGCTCATAATTTCCTGTATCGTTCTCCCATCCATCAGTTTCCTCATCTCTCCCATCACCTCCCTCAGAGATATTTCCGACAACCTTTTCTCGGGGTCCCTTCCAAGTGGAATAAAAGACCTCTTATCCTTGCAATTGCTGTAAGTTAACCAAAGTACTCAGTCTCATATCAATAGTCAGCTTGCATTGCACACCATCACCATCACCAGCACCAGCACCAGTACCAGCACCTGCACCAGCGCCAGCACCATCGCCCGCACCAGCACCAGCACCAGAACAACCATCACCAGCACCCTTGCACCAGAAACCTAGCGTGCTTTTGAATGCTCTTTCTCTCCCATCAAGGATGCAGCGGCTATTGCCATGTTTTCTTCTCAAGAATCCCTAACAACCATGCACTTCTTGTAGTCATTATGCAATTCAAATCCATATTAAAATGCCCAGCAGCAATGAGCAGACTTTGTCCTCTAATTTATTCGGCTCTATCCATAATCCGCCCAATCAGTCGCTACATTTTGCTCTCTTGTTTCTCCTCCCACCCTCTTCCACCCTTTGAATTTTCCTCTCACATCCGCTTTCATGCACTTCCCTCTCGCTCCCCACTCACTTACCTCTTGCATCAGACTGGCGGCTAGGTGTGGGATTCAAGGCGATCTTCCTAGAGAGATCACTAATCTCGGCCACCTCCTTTTGCTGTGAGCGCATCACTCACCTCTCCCACACTTGCCTTTGTCTCCAGAGAGGGCTGGTTCTGCATGGAATGGCATGGCATGGCATGGACCCTCAAGTTGTTTGAATGTCTTCATTCAATGGCTCATGCATTCTGTGTCTGTAATAGATTTCGCTATACATCCCCCTCACCGTGTATTTTTGAGAATTCTCAAAAGTCACTCCAATATAGATTTCGCTATACATCCCCCTCACTGTGCATCGCTCATCTTTCCATCATGCTGCATCATCGCACCCCCGCTGTGTCTTTCCATGCTTCGAATATGTGGGATGGTGTGTGAGTGCCAGATATATGGCCTCCTTCGTTTTCATGGCTTCACATTGCATCAATTTGTGTGGCACTGAATGCATGGCATGGTGTCGCATGGCATGGCATGGCATGGCATGGCATAACATGACATGGCAGGGACCTGAGCGACAATGATATAACAGGGCCACTACCAAATTTTGGGAGCTTGACTAGCCTTCTTGCCCTGTTAGTGCTGCCGCTTCTTGCTTGCTCCCTCCTCTCTCCTCCTCTCTCGTCCCTTTCTCCCTACTCTCTCCCTGCCTTCTCCCTCCTCTTCCCATCACCCTGCCTCAAATCCCTCCACAGCCCACTCATGTCTCTTAAGGCATTTGACTTTGTACACAGTTTCGGCTACACAGTAGTGGCTCATTGTCTTAACTCAAGTATCCACACAGTTCACATGTTGCCGGCACCATTCTCTCGATGTATATGTTTCTCCTCGACCCCTTCCCTTCACAATTTTGTGAGCCGAAGAGCTCAAAGGTCAGCCATTCAACTGTCAGCAAGTTCATGCATGCACGCTGCTCCATCAGCAGCACTCATGCTGCTGAGGACACCTGCCCTGCAGCTCAAGTGATTTGGCCATTAGTGCTGGCTAGTATTGCTCTGAGACTTCCGAGTATTAGGACAAAATACAGATGATCAGTCCGTGTGATTTCAGATTCGTTCTCCATTTGTTTGCTTACAGGCTTACAGGCTTAAGTGATTTTCACTTCTCCAGCGCCTGCAATCTAATCTCTGGAGAACTCGGCTCTCTCCTCTCCCTCCTTTCATACCTTCTCGCCCCTCTCCACCCTATGGTCTCCACATTCCCCCTGATTCCTCCTAACTCAATCTTAATTGCATGCATGTGCATGTCACTGCGCATGTGACTCTGTGTGTGCATGAGCATGTGTGGGTGTATGTGGATGTGTATATGCATGTTCATGTGAATATCCATGTGCATTTGCATGTGACTGTGTGTGTGTGTGTGTGTGTGTGTGTGTGTGTGTGTGTGAATTTGTGTGCATGTGACTGTACATGGTTATGTGAATATCCTTGTGCATGCAAATGCACAGAAGTTTGAGAGACAATGGATTTTCAGGATCTATACCCGCTCCAGCCAGCCTGAATACTGCATTCACGTATCTGTGAGTGTTTGAAGTCTAACTGTTCTTCTGCATTGGGTCTTGACCAATCTCGACTGTCTAGAATATGCCCTCGCCACATGCTCGCTTCATTACCCACCCATTCCTTCCCCAATTTCTCTCTCTTCCTCTAACTTTTCTTCTGCATTGCTCCATTAATTTTCTTCCTCTAACACTCCATCCATCTATTATTACCCACGCATCCATCCCTCCATACCCCTCCTTCCCCTGTTCGTCCCAGCAATCTTGCAAGGAATGCTCTCACGGGTTCGATTCCTGAAGCCATTTCCAATGTCGCGGGTGCAGTCACCATGTAAGGAGTTGAATTTTCAAGAAGAGTAGTTCTCTCAATGGATGGAATTCACTTCCTCCTCCCCTGTCCCCCTCCCCTTCCATCTGTCCCGTCCCACCCCATCCTGTTCTTCCCCTCTCCCTCATCAAGCCTTGCTCACTTTTCCGATTCTGTCTCTTTAGGCTTCTTCATTATGCCACTGTCCTGTGCTGTCTCTCATTGGTCCCTACCTCCCTCTCTCCCTCCCTCCCACCCACCCTCCCTCCCTCCCTCCCTCCCTCCCTCCCTCCCTCCCTCCCTCCCTCCCTCCCTCCCTCCCTGCCTCCCCACCTCCTCCCCTCCCTCCCTTCATCGCTCCCTCCCTTCCTCCATGCAGTGATTTTTTGGGCAACTCTCTCATTGAATCCGTTCCTGCGTCTATGTTTGAACTCAAG